GCCTGCCACGCGGGAGGCCCGGGTTCGATTCCCGGCCAGTGCAGAAATTGTTTTAGATTAAATTCGATTAAATTACTACAATGGGATTTTTTTTGCCATCGATCGATAATAACAGCCAATCAGTCCATGATATAAATTTCTTTGCCTSGAAAAAGAGGGTTTTATGTTTTAAGATGGCATATATCAGTCACAATCTTTTCCTAAAAGAATGTGTGATATGTGTAATTTCCCGGCACGTGATGTTTCGKGGATAGCCAATAAATACATCACACCTACCAAAACTGTTTTGTYGTTAGTTTTTAAGGTGGCTCCCAACCACTGGCCACTTTTGGTTTCCATAGCTACCATCCTTTTTGATCCAGCAGGAAAGAGCTCTTTTCGCTCAGCTGCAAAGTAAACAAAGTGAACAGGTGGTTGATTTATTGTAGCGTACATCGATTCTCATTTGATGYCACAGGGATCCCGTTAMTATACTACTCACGTTCATTATCAACGTTGACGATAACACAAGCATTAGAWCCAGCGGTTTCACACTTAAAGATGCCGCCATATTTGTGAAGTAAGCGACCATTCGGTGATATGACGTCAGTGAGCGGAGCCCCGACAAGTAACCTACAAAAACCAGGTATGATATAGTGAAAAGACTATGATCGATCTTGACTGAAAGAACTATCAAAACTAGCGCAAAACCAGGTATGATATAGTGAAAACACGATCTTGACTGAAAGAACTATCAAAACTAGCGCAAAATAGTGTGTATAGAGTGGTCGCACTTAAACCATGCAACTGTACAAAATAAATAGTTCTATTTCAAATAGCACAGCTGAGCTGTATTTAGTACATTGTGCATACCTTACACAAATTAAATTGAATTGATACAAATGAAGCATTCTAACTGACAAATTAGTACTACTTGGATTTTGTACAGTTGCACGGTTAAGTGCGATCACTCTAAGATGATAGAAACAAAGGAACAATTTATAGCATTATTCAATACTGAATGAACAACCTATGAGGAATGCTTTGTTCTCTTCATCCAATATGGYGGCTATGACGTAACTTGCAACCGAGAATACTAAACATTAGCAATGGAACACTGAAAAGTTATCAGCTTAAACTTCGTACAAATCAGCCATTTGTTCGTTCAGCCAGTCGTTTGGTCGGACGGTCGGTAGGTCTGTCAACGTTATATCGGTCAGTCTAGTCCGGCCATCAATAGATGAGACACAAGCAATACACCTCGTACATTAAGAAATGCACTGGTGGTTCAGTGGTAGAATTCTCGCCTGCCACGCGGGAGACCCGGGTTCGATTCCCGGCCAGTGCAGAACTTTTAATAATTTCAACATTAAATTACTACAATGGGATCGTGTGAGAATAACAGTCAATCATTCGATAACATGAATTTTTTTTCCTGCTAAAAGAGGATTTTATGTTTTTCGATTGTAAGTATTAATGGCATAAACAGGTGTATAAGTTGATAGAAAAGAAAGGAATTCCAACAATTTAGCTCTATATCTAATAGTAAGTTTTCAAGGAAAGGCGGCATATAGTCAATGTATAGTCAATAAAGCTGTTCATTAATGCATTTGATGCTCTAAAGCGCTACCTGAGACTCAAAGAGGTCATCAAATCTGGATTTCAAGATTTTCACCGAATTGTTTTTATAATCTCAACTCAATCGGCTCAAAATACCTCTACTTTATGTCAGGTTAATGGTGATGATTGCTTTTCCTGATAATCTGTAATAATCCAAATAACTTAATTTGTTTTCATCAAAAMTGTCAGTATATCACACATCACATGTATGCACGCCATTACAGGACCTTACAGACCACTTGATAATAAATATTAACATTTTCCATTAGACCGAAGAATTGTGCCGCCATGGGATCCTAAAAGGGGAAAACATTGAGGTCTATCACTTCAAAAATCGACGCCATTTCAATTCGATTTTTTAAATGTGTCTTTCTACAAGATAAGTCATCGTAGACCGAGGGAGTTCCGATGGTTAACCGAGGGAGTTCCGATGGTTAACCGAAGCGGATGTTCCTATTTATGGTTTTCGATCGGATATTTGGAATTCAAAATTCTTCCGGGGTTTAGCCGATTCCTTCACGACGCGCCTAATTAAATGATCTTCTTAGGGACAAGTCATTATAATTTAAACTGTTTTAAACTTGACTGTTAAAGACTACAAGACTTAGCATATACTTTTTGATACTTGGTTTTAAAATAAGTTGAAMATTGCTGGAAAAATATGGTGTCTGAAGTCAGTGAAATCTTTTATGCTGTCAATCCGACAAAGGTTGATGCTGACAATGTTTTGGCTTTGAGTTGATAATAAAGAGTACCAATTTAATATATTTTCATGCTTTGGATTCATGACAAATTTTTAGATCAACTTTTCTTTCCAGGTTTTGAACAGATAAAATCGGTGCGCAAATCCGTCGTCTTTATCGCTCTATCTGGGTTTCGTTACAATAGCTTGCTAATCCAAGGTCTTTTCTGCTGAAGCGCTTAAAGGAATCATTAAAAAAATAACAAAAATATAAGTTTTTATTTGAAGCAGGAAAAATAGATTGTGCTAGTTGTTCGTTGTGATGGCCGTGAATTTAATGTCGACATCATGAATTTTTTTCTTTTAATTTTTTGGCCCATTTTTCCGTTTGAATAATTCGACAAATTCACAATTCATCKATAATTGAACTAAAGACGTTACCAATTTTATTAATTTTAGAATCGATCACCTTGACGACAGAAATTATCGTTTTCGCAAAAAGATGAGAGGTCTGAGAGCGGTATTTGTGGAAATTTGATCAGCGGCCCCTCATTGAAACAAGGATATTAAAAACAGCGAGATAAAAATCAAAACACACACTTGAAAAGAACCATTTCAGAGCCGCACTAGAATTACATGACTGCTGTAAATTGCGACTTTTCATTAAATTGATTTTTAACTTTAATGTGACCTGGAAAATCGATCGAGAAAGTATTTTGACCTGGAATCCAGCTACCTGTTGAAGAAACTACGTGCGACAATTCCCATTTATACTGTAAAAGTTTAAAATACTTTGCTCGGTTCAAGAAAACTAGTGGTATATCATGATAAAAACTGTAGTGTTATGAGAGTCTTACCATCTCGTAGACTGATAGGAATGGAGTGCAACAGTAAACCCAAACAAGTAGGTTCTGTTAGGATGTGCGTAGATTGTAGCAGTCCTGGTWTCGACATTGAAACCATACACGTTTATAATTACCAACCAAAAACACACCAGAAAATACGCCAACATCTCAATAGAAACACAAGCTGCTGTGTTAGCGTTATGCTATTCAGTCAAATTGTTGAGGATGTCGTGGTGGCACRGTCGGCTGCGGTCTCACCAAACCTACGGTAACGTCACTTCCGCCTTTGTCACGAACTCCAATCAGCTGCTGCTCTTTCAAATTTCCTCATCTATCGGAAACAATTGATAATCCTTTGACAGATCAATGCTAACCATTCTATTCTTGTGGAATCTATTGAATATGCTTAATTAAAAATCTTATTTGAGAGCTGAATGGTATTGTATCCCGTGTCAGGTTTTGTGTGAAACCACACACCATTTAATGCTACAACCAAAACCTTTTTTCATATTTTTTTCTGTCAAATCCAGGCTTGACCCYTTGTATCKTTCTRTGAGTATTTGGATTACTAACCCGTGGTGTACCGAGAACAGATTCAGACATGATGTCGGCCTTAGCGAAAGGGAAATTGATGAAACACACAAAGAAACCAACATGGGCAAAATGTCAACGGCACCAACAACAGACACAATGGAAATCAAAACTAATATCAAAACACCATTATGGGAAATAATTCATAAAGTCGACAAAGAATAACGTCGATAAAATAAGACTACTGTGTTAAAATAAAAAATAAAAACTACTGTTTGTACTGAGGAATGCGCAYCTCAGACTCTATGAAAATTGAGAACAAACGAAAACTAAAAGTTTGCGATTTATAGTGGTATAATATCATGTTTTCTTTACTTGTTTTGATTTTATTTGCCAAAAAATGTTGAAAACAGACAGACATCGCCAGTCTTTTTGGTTGCAGTTCTCGAGTTGATTTTGATGACTGAACCATGTAACGACAATATTCTTAACCGTTTATAAATTATCATCAGACTGAAAATAACCATTAACTTTCAGCCAGGATTAAAAATTGCTGTTAAAACATTTGTTTATTTGAGGCTTTGGGTGTGCTAACCGTTACGTCAAGTGGGTGGGGAGGGAAGTGGTTTTAAGCTAATTTTTTTTGATCAGTTATTTGTTCACTGTGGTCTTGATTATGTGTTCGACGATGCAAGCAACAAGACGCTCTTCGTCAAACCATTTAAAATGCTTTCTATAGTTGTGTTTAAAGTCGTTTGTTTGTTAYAGACATGACGAGTACCGAGTTGGGCAGAGGRACGTAAAACCATGCACATTTTAGCAAAGGAAAAAAATGCGAAAATAAGGAAGTAAATAAAGAATTAGAATCTAACAGATCGATTATAAAGGAAAATAATAAATCAATTAATTAACAATATTAGGGGTGTTAAATGGTGTGCCGAGTTGCTGGTGAGATCTCAGTTCGCCGTGGTTTTTGTCACGCACCATTTCGGTTTGACACGAMAACGGCTCGCGATCTAAAATGGCTTCAGATGGCAATCAACTATGGATAACCTAAGATTCAAGGGTTGTTTACATTGTATTACAGAATGATTCGGACACCAGCTGTTCTACATTTAGTGTGCTATCAATCACTTTTATAATAAAAGCTTTAAGTAGTTAATTGATACCAAGTCTTCTCCAAGCTACTTAAAACAACGAACAATGTGGACATTAAATATGCAAATAGTTGTGAATCAGGAAACAAGCTTTCAATGAATAGAATCCTTGTACTTCTTATAGAACATTTTTTATTCGTTCACTTTTTCATTTTATGACACAACAAACAGTAATTGGAAGAAATAGACTACGTTTATAATACAAATATAAAGGGTTATTCCATGCTGGCTGTAAAATGAATTCTACACACAATCGCTTTCGGTGTAGTGCTGTCTGCAACTATGATATTATGTCCATCTGTGATACCGAGATCTTAGATGAAAAAAAAAAAAGGATTATTAAAACAGTAACAAAAAAACAACAACAACAACAACAACAAACAAACAAACAAAAGAGCAATACTGACAACAACCATAACAACAACATAAAAACAAAACTATGGCAAAAGCAAGAACACATAAACAATACATGGATAATAATATCTGTAATAAGTAAGGTTATTCTAAGATCTAGATAGATGATATCACATGGGCGCGGGAGATGTACGCTATGCTCACTCGTTAGAGATCTTTTTAACACTCGAAGATAAAATCCATATCTCCAAGCGACCATGTAATATTCTGTTTATCATAATTACACATGAAAGCAAATTATGTCGTAAAATACCTTTTTTCTTACTTTCACTCKTTAGAGAAACCTCGAATGTGCTATTTTCACTAGTGAAAATAACAATTTACGAAATAAAGMAATATAGGTATTTCGTAGATAATTATATGATAAAAAGCATTATTAATAGATAACGATCCTCACCCTTGAGAGTCTTGGACAAGTTATCTCTTGTTCTTTCTTCTATTGACTTAACTGACTGCAAAACCAAATCACACAGAGTGATGACATCGTCTATATACATTTATTTTTAAAAAGAACATTGTCGAAGCCGAAGCACGGTCTGGTATACGAAGCACGGTGTGGTATACGATACAACACATACCTGCATGTAGAGAGTCTTGTTTTTGTTATCGATCATCGTCGTCACTCCTGGAGCTTTCATTTGACTGCAGAACGAAAGTCAATACAAAAAGAAATCACAAAGTACAGACAGACGGAGGCAAGGACAGGAAGGTAGAGGGATAGACGAACGCACGCACGGACAGGTAGAGGGATAGACGCACGCACGCACGGACAGGTAGAGGGATAGACGCACGCACGCACGGACAGGTAGAGGGATAGACGCACGCACGCACGGACAGGTAGAGGGATAGACGCACGCACGCACGGACAGGTAGAGGGATAGACGCACGCACGCACGGACAGGTAGAGGGATAGACGCACGCACGCACGGACAGGTAGAGGGATAGACGCACGCACGCACGGACAGGTAGAGGGATAGACGCACGCACGCACGGACAGGTAGAGGGATAGACGCACGCACGCACGGACAGGTAGAGGGATAGACGCACGCACGCACGGACAGGTAGAGGGATAGACTGACAAATAGATAGAAAGACGACTGACAGACAGATAGAATAACAGTCAAACGTACAACGGACAGACATGAGAAAATTAGTCAATACAGCCATAAGAAGTGATTTTACTTACAACTTTGCATCGTCACACAGGAATGTTATAACATCCTTTAGCGTTGCATTCTCGTGGAATGTCAAGATTTGAGGTTTTTGACTACACGCTGGACAATCATCCTAATTACAATAAAATATTGACATAATCTAAACAACACTTAAAGTAAAAAAATACTCCTGAAATATATAACTAAGGCATTTACACATTATCAGTGGTGCAATCACTTTGCTTCATCTTTTTTTATTCGCTCTTATGCACACATATCTGCAGTGATAAACAGATCGTACCTTTTTTTCTGCTTGGAATGTATAGGTATATARACCATCTGTATCGTTATAGACCATGTAGTTATTAAGAGGATTACAGCAACTAAAAGAGAGTATTGCATGCTTACATACATCCACTATATTAACGAGATGGAGACTTGCTTACCTTGACGCTATCTTAAACACTTCAAGTGCACAAGCAGCTGGAAATAGAGAGGGGGAAAAACATTTCAATATTGACACAGATCAACAAGACTCATGCAGTAAAACTACACAACAAGTCATCAATATCAATCAACCAAACACATACATGTACATGTACCTGCCAACTACAGCAAACAATCAAACAGCTCACTAGTAACAAATACACCACCAACCAATTGTAACCAACCAACCTACCCAAGCAACCCACCCATCGACTAACTCACCACCCAAAACGCTCAATCAAATCACCCACCCACCCACCAACTAACCAAGAAAACCATCCAAACACACTTCTGACAAACCACATAACCAACCAACACATTAACCAACCAACACACTAACCAACACACTAACCAACACACTAACCAACTCACCAACCAACCAACACACTAAACAACCATCCTACTAACCAATCACCCCACTACCCAACCACCCCACTAACAATAACCACCCCACTAACAATAACCACCCCACTAACCAATCAACTCACTAACCAATCACCTTACTAGTCAACCACCCAACTAACCCATCAACTCACTAACCAATCATCATACTAACCAAWYACCCCACGATCCAACCACCCCACTAACCCATGAACCCAACCCCCTAGCACCCAACTAGCACATCAACCCACTAATCAATCAACCCACTAGCCACCCAACTCACCCATGAACCCACTTACCACCTGACAAACCCATCAACCCACTAACCAACCAACTAACCCATCAATCAACTAACCAACCAACCCACTAACCACCCAACCCACTAACCAACCAATTAACCAACCAACCCACTAACCACCCAACTTGCCCATTAACCAACCAATCCACTATAACCACCCAACTAACCCATCAACCCACTAACCAACCCACTAACCTACCAACTAACCCATCAACCCACTAACCACCCAACTAACCCAACTAACCCATCAACCCACTAACCACCCAACTAACCCAGCTAACCCACCAACCCACTAACCACCCCACTAACCACCCAACTAACCCATCAACCCACTAACCACCCAACTAACCCATCAACCCACTAACCAATCACTCCAGTAGCCAAACACCCCACTATCCAACCACCCCACTAACCAATCACCCCACAAACCAACCACCCCACTAACCATCCACAACACTAACCAACCACTAGCCAGCCAACCCACTAACCAACCACCCCACTAACAAACCAACTAACCCATCAACCTACTAACCAATCACTCCAGTAGCCAACCACCCCACTATCCAATCACCCCACTAGCCAATCACCCCACTAACCAACCACCCCACTAACCAACCACCCCACTAGCCAGCCAACCCACTAAACAACCACCCCACTAACAAACCAACTAACCCATCAACCTACTAACCAATCACTCCAGTAGCCAACCACCCCACWAACCAATCACCCCACTAACCAACCACCCCACCAACTCCCTAGCACCAAACTAACCCATCAACCCATTAATCAACCAACCCACTAGCCACCCAACTCACACATGGACCCACTAACCAACTAATCCACTAACCACCCGACTAACCAATCAACCCACTAACCAACCACCCTACTAGCCAGCCAACCCACTAACCAACCACAACAATAACCAACCACCCCACTAACAAACCAACTAACCCATCAACTTACTAGCCAATCACTCCAGTAGCCAACCACCCCACTATCCAACCACCACAATAACCAACCACCCCACTAATAAATCACTCCACTAACCAATCAACAAACAACACCCCCCCCCCCCCAAAAAAAAAAAAAAAAAAAAAAAAAAGCACGATCAGACTGTACATGTACCTGCTATGGTTGCATTTGTTGAAGCAACAGCTGGAATGATGTGTTTAACAACACCTGAAATTATTTAACAAAATCATATTTACACATCAGACATTTCTTACAACACAAGTACTAAGAAATTATAATTCTGTGTTGATCATAATAAGTATTCCAATGGTTCATATCTTCATATTGTTCCATTGCACGCTATCATCTATGTAAATAATGTCTACAGAATGTATCTAGTTCTAGCATTCCTTTCTATTTAGTCAGCTACAAATATCAAATTCCCTGATATCAGTACCAGCTGTGACATTCTTATCCATGCTGTTCAKGATTATAAGGTTTTGGTTTCTGGTAATTTATAAAATGTTTTGCAAAGGAATTGTGGGATACCTTGAGTAAGTCTATATGTTACTCCACTAATATTGTACTCCTCTGCTCTCTGTTTAGCATGGTTRTATATCCACTGAACATGTTCAGGATCATCTCCATCAACAGGTACATTCTCTGAGAAAATAGAAAAAGAACTTATTAAACACAGTACTGGCTATCACTCACAATATGATGGTGTAAATTGCCCTTTACAGTATTAGTGAAACTATTTCTCTAAGGTTTGTTCAATAATATAGAATCTATGTATGTAAATATTATTATCATGAGAGGTAGTTACTACATGCGCTTTCCAGGAAGTAAAATGATACACTATTCTCTCATGATTCAATCAAGTCCATCATGCCAAAGACCCATCATTAACAACCAAAAAAACACTATAGAAAGACCACTTGATGAAGGCAATGGCTATTGCTAGCATTAACAGTTTCTAAATAATCTTGTCATTGCCATGACATATTTGTACCTCCAAATGGTTTTTCCTGTGGCCAAACCAACACCTTTGCATATTCAATACAGTGYTCTGGTAGTCTTGGTGTGTGTGCTATGGTACACAGTGGAAAGTTAACCTGGAAACAAAACCAATAAAGTCAATACATAAATATATAGACATATTATTCAAATATGAAAATATGGAATTCTTCTATGAACTATATAGCTATTACAGCTGCCCAAGAAACACATAAGAGAAAAGGAGGCAGTTTTATCAATAATTTGGAGGGATGAGAGTCTGAGAATGCAGGAAAATGGAGAGATAGAGACTTTAACACATAGCAATCTGACCTGAGGTGGGTAAAGATCTAAAGTACATTCAACACATGCTGTCAATCCTGGTAATATAACTCTTGCATTACCCTTGAAACCTACAGCAACATCACAATCAATGCATCAATTAGTTAATGAGTCAATGAATCGATCAACATTTAATCCACAAACTACATGGAAAAATACAAGAAGATTAAAATGGATTGAAAACAAGGTCAAACTTAAAATACGGAATACTGAGTGTACCTTCTGTACCACCATCAACCATTGGTATGACTGTACTCTGATCTAGATTACCTTCATCATCATAATCCAGCAGATCTATCTACAATATAAACAATTAGCCTTTCAAAAATGGACTGGTAATGAGTCATTTCCATGCCACTCTCTCTTGTACCCAGATCCCACACTTTTGCCATCTATTTTAGTTGATTCATGATTGGTTGAAAATGGTGCAGGCATGCATTGTTTCAAGTTGGTTTACAGTAAATTCAGTTCAGAAGATCAGTTGACATCATGACTTACCAGCATCCCATTTATCCATCGCCTAGCAACTATAGAGTCCAGACCACAAACTACAATGTGGAACGCTTGAACATAAAAATTTCATATTATATTCAATACACACATAACTGTCTCTCTGGACTGGATGTGAAATTAATAACACTGATTATCGTCATGCAGCATGACTTACAATCTTGGACATAAAAACTTGACAATTTTTCGCTTGGGCATTACAAATACTGTATCGCGTGCATCTACTGAAAGTATTCTACCTCCCTCCCCTTGCACCCACATCAATGCTGCAAGAAAGGGTTAATCAATGGACACCAAATGAAAAGAARGCCACACWA